AGACCATAACTTGAGATTGGTAAATCCAAATGACATGGTACCAAAGGCATTGGTTAGAGGACTTCAAGACCTTTCCAAAATGTCCAAAAACATGGTCATAGGATCAAAATTGAGCAAGTTGTGCATTGGAGAAGTTGAGAAATTTTTATGAATTTGCAAAAGTCAACTATCCTTAAAACCTCAATTTTTGACAAAAGGGTCCACTTTATTCCACTTGATTCAGCCTTGTCATGCCACACACGTGTCCCATGATTAATTTCAAGATCAAACATTTATTTTTCTATTTTATTTAATTTTTATTGATTTAATTCATTTTAAATCTATAATAATTCAAATAAAATCTAAAAATCAATGGAATAGTATCTTTATGATTTGAACAGCTTTCATATATCATGTGCCAACTAACCAATTCGTGCTAGGGCTTTTTTGTGCATAAAATCTTAGATTTGCTTCAAATTTGGAAAGGTTTTCAATGGTGGTCAATCAAATCTCCAAACTTCAATACACAAAGATACAAGCCCAAATTTTGACCTAGACTGATTGCCTTATACATATACAAGGAGCCTAAACCTAATTCACGAGCTAAGCATTGCTAAAACGGCCAAGGAAAAACTGAAAAATTGTTGGAAAAGTGGGAGATCAAGAACAGGATTGCAGGCGTTTTCAGACCAAAAGGAGCACGTAGCCTTCTTCCTTGCTATCCACTGAAGCTAAAGCGATCACAAACACGTCCTGAGACCACCTACAAAGCGCTGTAAGTCATCACGAAGTCACCCCTGGACATGGAATCGTGATCTTCTATTCTTGCACTTTTTCTTCAAAGCATTAGCATAATCATGTTTATTGTTCGATTTCTAACATAATTGCAATAGCCAATCTTGTTTTTAGGCCCTGAATCGTGATACCCGATTCTAGGGTTCATGTTCTTGCGTTTTAGGGGTTTTTGGTATAGGGCGAATTGGACCCAATAATAGGGATAGAGATGATCAGGGGACAAGGACGGACATGCCCATGGTCTCAGGTGGCATTTTCATGGCCTGAGGACAACTTTTGAAGCGATCTACGAAACCTCCTGTGGATAAAAATCCGCAGGTAACTGAACCAGGATGTTAGTGAAGAAGACGATGATGTGTCTTTCTATCACTGGCCCATTCAAAATCAAAACTCGCGCATATTTTTTTATTTCCAGGATATCGTTTTTTATTATATATAATATTAATTGCCTATTGTTATAATGAATGGAACGCGTTGGCTGAGTGGTTGGGAAGGCATGCATATGTTCATTGGGACCTGGGTTCGAATCCTAGGTCCCCCAAAACCTTTGTGCTATTTTGTTTCAGGGAATTATGTGCAATACTCCAAGCGAGTCTCACCATACGCCTCATCCAGATGCACGCCAAGTGGTCTCAGGTTCAGATCTAATGGTCAAAAGATGAAGGACCATCATAGTCTCCAGTCAACAGGCGTATGGACGAACCAAAAAGTCAACCAGGCTGGAATATTGATTGGGCCAAGGATTTCCAAAGACACCTTCAAATCTGGCCCAACCCCCCCCCCCCCCCCCCCTGGGTTTGCATTTTATTTTTTATTTTCTTTCATTCATTTGCTTTATTTATTTTTATTGTTTTTAATTAATTACTAACCAGCAAATTAATTAACATTTTCATAATAAATTCAGAACACATAAATAAAATAATCTTTTATTAATTAAATTTAATTATTATTTTTGTAAATAAATACTAACAAAATTGATTTAGTCTTTTAAATTAGGTTAACCTTAATCTTTTTTCATAATAAATAAAATAAATTAGAATTAGGGTTTTCTTGACTTTTAATTTCTTTTATTTTTTATTTTCATTAAGACATAAAAAACATAAAAAATACTTTTTTTTTCTTTTAATTATTTAATTAATTAGTAAATTAGGTTTAATATTAATTAATTGCAAAAAGGACCAAAATTCCATTCTTTTCTCAAAAAGGGTCAAAACCCTAAGGACGTCCCCGATTTAATTTCTTTGCGCGCATATTTATTTTTGATTATATTTATGTAACTGCTCCGAGAATGTAATAGATAATTAGGACTCTTTTATCGCTTTCTTTAATTTCTCGCAATTTATTTTCAAGGGTTATGTTTTTGGCGATGTAAATACCCGACGCCTTGTAATAGCGTAGATTCACTTTCCGCAATTTACTTTTCGAAAATTATTAACTGTTAACTATGCATGACAAGATTTGCCTGACAAATAAAATCAATCCGTAGCTCACCATAATACATGTGCAAAGATAATCTTAAACTGAATCCTGACACACTCGCACATGTCACTCATAGGGTATGCCTCACTTGGTTGCCTCGACAAGGTCATTAAGTATAGGGTGTTTTAGAGGTCGCCCTCCTGTCTAAAGATCCAGTTGCCTCGAAACGGTTGCCTCGGATAAAAAAGAATCTAGGACATTAGGGTTACCGCTAAGGCGTCCTACCATTGCTTTGGTGACCACACATGTCCCTATAATCGAATTGACCCGAATAACTCCAACGACGGTGCTACCTACTTCTCAATAGTGGGATAGTACTGTCTAAAGGACTATTACACAGCTTAATTCCTTAGAGTAGGTAGATTTCTCCTGGGTACTTGCTCTTTCAAAAAAACAAAAACATCTTTTCGCACTTACACTTTCAAAAAGTTTTCAAACAAACACTTCATGACACTCTTGAGGACTGATACAAGAGTTGAAACGAAGTTTTCAAACAAACTTTTTCAAAACCCACAAACACAAGAAAAGCAAACAATTTTTGAAAACATAGTGAGCAAGTACCTAAGAGCCCGTGGATAACCACAGATAGAAAGGGTGCTAACACCTTCCTTTTCTATAATCTACCTCCCGAACCGAGAAACATCTCGAAAAGGAATTTTGCTGTGCTTTTGTCCTTTCCTTGTTGGAGAACATAAAAGACGGTGGCGACTCTTGCTTACCGCGACATTTCGCGAACCAGCATTTCAAAACAGTCAGTTCTATTTCCACCGATCACAGATCCTTAAGTAGGATCCTTTCTTCCCATGGGGTGATCATTTGATGGATCCTTAAAATGATATCCTTGCAGCCCACCAGAGCAATCACAATAAAAAATACCCTTAGACAAAGGTTTAAAACAAGAAAATAGGGATTAAAGAAGTTAACATAAAAGGTGTCCTAAAGGGATTATATTGTTTCCAACGGTTACAAAAGCCTCTGAAAGGGGATACGAATGAAATCACAAAAACCTTCAAATGGAAAAAAGAAAGACAACCAAAAAAGGTGAAAAAAAGAATCATTCATTATCCAGTAGTTGGTAATATCAAACCACCTAGGTATCATTCTTTATCCATCAAAAGGGAGATGTTTTCCTCCAAACCCTTTTAGGTATCATGAGTTTTCCCAAGAGATTTTTTGAAAATCTCCATTTCAGCAAGTTGAGTGCGGACATAAGTGGTTGCCCCCTTGGTAAGCGCATACAAAGCATTCCACCTCTACTTCAACTGTTTTTATCACTTCCCCATCAGTGCGCTTCTAACATTGACCTCTCGAGCTTGGACCCCCCTGAAGGTGTGGGAATATTTCTCCCTCTGTACTTTTTCTACTAACGAGCACTTTAGGAGTTAGGTCTCTAACATATCAGATAGCTAGGAAGGGTACATTTCATAAAGCATCTTATAATCATCGAGGAAGCTCTTGGGGAAGGAAAAGAAGTAGTCAACAAATCCACTGCATTAAAAGCTTGATTATTCCATAAGGAGGGCCGAATCATCTGTTGTACTCTCTGCATCCGGCCCTAACTCGAGGTTTCTTGTCGTCCCAGAAGGATCCTCTTACCTCCCAGGTACCTTGCACTATTATAAAATATACCTTCAGTGACACTATATTACCATAAACATTTAGTCACCGTAGTAATATCTCATTTTTTACGCGTATGGTTTTTTATAATTTATTAAGAAACATTTTATCACGGTTCCTAAAAACAACCGTGATCATAGAATTTGGGGGACAAGCTTCGAATCTCAGCATCAACATTTTTCCATTTTTTAATAAAAATAAGCATGTGTCCTTTAACATTTATTAATTTTCAAAAATTAAAAGTATAAGAACTACGATTGTTTCTTTCAATCGTGGTTATATGTTTCATATTTCACTACGATTGTTTCTTGCAACCATTGTGAAGTTATTTCCCACAAAATTAAAATATAACATGTACTTTATCTCATTTATAACACACAAGGGTGCCCTAGCGAATGAGACGAATGATAATTAGATCTAGTGTATGAGACATGAGTTCTTGAATTCCTTTAATTCGCCATAAAAATGTTCCCGACGATAAAGGTATTTTTTTATTGTCCTTGTGTTATTTGCGGGATTATCAAAAAACAGTAAAAGAAATAAATATTACATCACCTATGTTGTGATGGAATATGTCAAAATTATACAACATGGACGTGGCATAGAGAAGTGGATAAAAATGAAATGCTATGTCAAAAATGGATGAAGTTGATGAAGATATGGATGATCGACTAGAATATATGACCAGTGATATTGGAGAATTAACTTATATGAAATCCCATATTTATGATAATTTATGTAGCGATAAATATTCACCTTTATATAAGGGGTGCACCAGTTTTACATGATTGTCTGCGTGGTTAAATTGTTTTGAAGGCAAAATATGGTGGTCGGATAAAAGTTTCACAAAATATCTTGATTAGTTGAAACAAATGCTACTAGAAGATAACAATTTTCTGGACCATTGTTATGAGGCCAAGAAGATATTGTGTCCAATGGGTTTGGAGTATGTCAAAATACACGCATGCCCTAATGATTTCATAGTATACAAGAAATAATATGAAAATTTGGATCAATGTCCAAAATATGGTACGTCGTGCTACAAGTTGAAGAACAACAATGGTGATGACAATGAAAATATTAGTAAGAAATGTCCTCCTGCTAAAGTGTTATGATACTTGACAATAATTTCAAGGTTCAAGAGACTTTTTGCTATTGTGAATGATAAAAAAAATATTAGATGGAATGCAAATTAAAGAAAATGTGATGGAAAAATTCACCATATAGATGATTCTTTGCCATTCTTCGTGGCCTGTTCTTCTCACAATTTTGCAACCTATCTCCTTGGTTGAGAAGTAAGCACAAGTATATGATGTTAAGTATGATGATTTCGGGACCAAGACAACCTGAAAATGACATAGATGTTTATCTAAGTCCATTAATTGAGGATTTAAAACTTTTTTAGGATAAAGGTGTTGACGTTGATGATGCATATTCTTGTGTAAAGTTTAAGATGCATGCAATGTTATTTTGCACAATCAACAACTTTCATGCATATGGTAATTTGGCTAGATACACTGTCAAAGGACATAAAGCGTGTACTATATGTGAATCCATTACTTGTTTTCACCAGCCTAAGTTTGCATCGGGCTATTTTGTTTGGGAACACGTGACCAAAACACACCATAATTTATATTGCATTTACATCAAATTTCATCTGCAAAATTTAATCAATGCTTCACATTCATTCTTCACAAGGATTACGAAATGTTCACACAGATCCTGCTTCTTTTCCCTCCCAATATCAATAACACTCCAATTTCATCCTAATTCCCTCTCAACTCTACTATAATTTTCAATCATCTACATCTATAAAAGAAGGCACTAACCGAACTATGCGGAGAGGAAGAAAAATACAGAAAATGCTGCAAAATATTCCAAACTCTTCCTCCACCATAATCTATTTTAAATCTATTGCATAGATACATTTAGAACTTCACATTGAAACTCTAAACAGCCTGAGATAAAGATAAAATTTCATAACCTGCACAAGTAAAACTCCAACCAGCTGGAGAAGAAAAAGAACGAAAGAAGAAATGAAGAAGAGAAAGAAGGAGAATATGAACCTACTCGATCTGTTGAGGTCACTAGAGAGGCTGGTCGATGCCAGACTAGCTACGGTAAGGGTGGTAGCTTTAGTTTTTTCCATGCTTTCTTGTTACCATGTTATTATCCATGATTTATGCCGATGAAAAACCCCATGTTAATTGCTTAAATTTGTCAATAGTTGTCATTTAATTTGGGTATTGGAATTTAGGGTTCATGACTTGAATTTATAAATAAATGATGAGGGTGTTGATTTAGAGAATTTGGATTGTGAATTTGTACTAGAGAGAGGGAGACGAAAGCACCGGCATGAGTTTTTTTTTGGTTTTTTCCCACCCCCGCTGAAATCCATGGCGGAAGGTGGAAGTGTTGTTTTCTGATGAGCAAGGGTGGAAAGAAAACAAAGATGTTGAAAGAGAAGCATTAACATGGAGACAGAAACGACTGGTAGTGAATATCACATGTTTTTTTCTTTTTTATTTCATTATTTTTTTTTTCTGAAATTTTTCTTTACCACGTGGCTAATTTCCCCACCCTTGGATCTTCATATTTGGTTTGATCAGGGAACATAATCAGCGCTACCACTTGTCCCCTTTGAAGTCATTTGACTTTTCTCTTTTGGGCTCAATTTATGTTTTTGATTACAACCCATATGTTATCACACCCCTCCCCTCGAGTTAGTTTTGATTGTCTTTTGGGCTCTGTTTGCATGGGCTTAATTCATTTATTATTGCAACCTCAATTTAATTTAGCACCTTCTATCTTTCTATTCAATAAATTCTATTCAAATTAAAATCATGTTTTTATTTTAAAAAACTAATTTGGTTAAATATGGTTTTAGTTAATTAACTTTGTTAATTAAATTTAATTAACTCGATTATTCAATTTGAATTAATTTTTAATTGGTTATTCTTGATAATTAATTTAACCAACTTTTATCTATCAATTTTTCTAAAAATAAATTCCATTCCTTTTTATTAACTCAACAGGTTCAGTTAAGTAACTTTACCTCTCAAAATCAACCTCCCTTCAAAATAAAAACGCTTGATCCAACGTCAAGCTATTTTTTGAATCAAATTTGATCGAACTCAACACAAATGCTTGATCCAACGTCAAGTGCCTTTTCCCGATTAACTCAAATATTTTCATAATTGATTAAACACTTGATCCAACATCAAGTTGTGTTACGCTTTCAAATTTTTTCCTCAATAAAGTCGAAAGACAAAGGACAATTGGATGCACATCCTTTTGAAACCTTAATAGTCAGGCCCAAGGTTCACACTTTGTTTAAAAAGACTATTAATATTTCCACCAAAAATACTTAATTAAAGTTATAATAAAGGGACAATTGGATGCACATCCATTTGAAACCTGAGTAAAGGAGCGCATGGTGCATACCTTGTTTAGACGGTACTCATATTCCATAAAGATAATTTTCATAAACATGGACGAAAAAGGACAATTGGATGCACATCCTTTTGAAATATTAGGTAAATGAGCGCTTGGTGCACACGTTGCTCAAACGGTTATTCGAATCCATATAAAATCAATTTCAACATATTCAGACCTTTTGCCTTTTGGTTTTCCAGTTCAAAGCCTTTTCAAAAATGAAAGATGTTTCGTCCATTCTCTGACGATGCAAACAACGCTTGCACATGATAATTTCAAACATTTTCCGCTCGAATGTGATAAGGACATAAATTTATGCTGATCTGAATTATGTTGTCCATTCTTGAAGCAACAAAAATGTTCTATTATCCATGTTATGGGCATAAATGTGTTCCTTTCGAATACGACCTGAGAATCTTTCGCTAAAATCGACCAACCCACAAACATTTTTGAAATTTTGGCACCCACAATATAGATGTTAAGACAGATGTCTCAACATACAATCACAATGTCACGACAGATGTTATGACATCTACTGACAAAACATTAATAGGACAATAGTAATGCAGAGTTTAAAACATAAAGAAATAAAAACACAATGACATGTTTACCCATTTCAGTGCAAACTCACCTACTCTGGGGGCTACCAAATCGAGAAGGAAATCCACTATCAGTAGTACTAGTTCAAAGTTAATCTCCTCGTTTACAACTTCTGGCCTAATCCCTACCCATTGGAACTTCTACCTAGACACCTCCTAGATCTGGAAAATCGTCATCCCACTTCCAATCACCACAATGATAAACAAACAACCCTAATCCCAATGAATGTCTCAAGAAACCAAAACAGGAAGAACACACTTCAAAATTACAGATACTTAGTTTTCTTAAAAGCTTCACTAAGAACAATACTCAACTCTTGCTTCCCAACTTCGAGGAGAATAATAACTTGACAAACTGTCAAGCATAATCAGTAAACTCAAATGATAAGAGATACATGAGAACGTACAAACAAAACAGAAACCTCCTTGAGAACCCTCAAACCAAAAACTAAGAAATATTTGGATTCCCCTATTTTTTACAAAGTTCTTAATTATATTAGGTCTATGTAGGGGTGGAAAATGGGCATGCCCTCCCCGTTAAGGCCCATCGTGCAAAATCCCACAAAAAATAGGATGGGGTGAGCATAGTTTAGGATGAGGGCCTAAAACATAGTCCACCCTACAAAAAGTGAGTGTGGAGCGGGGAAAGCCCGCGGGTACTGCACCTTTTAAGCCTAAAAATGCAAAATTTTATGCTAATGCTCATGTCCCCAAAAGCCCGCAAAGCAAACAGAGCGGGGTAGGGCAGTCACATTAGAGGGCGAGGGCTTAAATTCTTGGCCCTCCCCACACTAAAGCAAACAAAGTGCGTTTTTCCACCCCTAACTCTGGGTAGTTTCTTTAAATACTCCTCAGAAACTCTTGGGCCTTGCAGTTGTGCCCAAATATTCCTTGTTATCCATGCTGAGGGCTGCACAAATATATGCAGGAAAATCTCCAAGAATCTTGGAACAAAACACAAGGTTTCCTAATTAGTCTCAATCAACCAATTTTAGCAACCCGTGTACAACTGGAGATAATATTTGTTCCAGATTTAAAAAATCCTTGACCTGCAAAAAATTAGTGAGATAAACCAAAAGGAATCTCACAGAACCAATTTAAAATTGTTAAGAATAAACCAAACAACATAAACTACTGCACCAGACCAATATGTCATGACATTGTCTTCGACATCTGACTGAAAATAACATAACAGTAAACCTATTATGACAAACCATGTTTTAGAAAAAACTATTCCAATCCAACATACATGGTACTAACAATCTCCCCCTTTGGAAAATTTTGGCTAAAACACTCTTAGCACAAATATGGTGTACCCCAATTTTTGCCCCTAAGATTCCTTCATCATACCATGTTGATTCAATCACAACAAGATCACATTAGGACTTTTGTTTCTTCTCCCTATCATTTAGCTTTGCTCTTTTTGAGGAATTACCAAGCACCTTGACTTATTTTATTTTGTGATCATGAATATTTTGCTTAGATTTTTCTTTTGTTAATAAAATGCAATGTGGATTTGCCTTACTTGTTAATAATGTAGGTAAAGGCTATGAGGTTTACCAAGTTGCCTCATGGGTTTATGAGTTTATTTCCATGCCCTAATCAACATGGCTTGAGGAGTTAAAACTCCACTATTGGAGTGATTTTGGAATAAATGGCATGACAAGGCTTATTTTGGCTCAATATATCAAAATTGATCCAAAAAGTACAAGTGGTTGAGGGAAAAAGTTATCATGATTGGACCAGGTCGTGTTCCTATTGGTCACAAGAGCACATTTCTCTCAAATTTCAAGATATGGAAGTGATTTTGGTGGCTATGAGTCCTCATCATCATCCTCAACAACTTCTATTGACAAAGAAAGAATATGGGCACAAGAAGTTTGTTCAAACTTGTCAAAGTTCCTCCAAGCATTCTCTTGATCTAGAGGATAGGGTTTTAAACTTCAAAGGAGCATATCTTGCTCACCTTTTGGTATTTTTGAGTGATTCCAAAGACATATTTCTCTTTAAAGAGTTACCAAAAAATCACTTCAAAAGTTCCAATGAGTTTTCATGTGGAAGGAACTTGGTGAAGGAGAAAGATTACAAGTCATCCAGATAAATCCCGCTCATATGTTTACGACAGAGGAGGTAGCAGATGAAAAACCTTGGTATTATGATATCAAGCATTTTCTTCAGACTCAGGAATACTCGATTGGTAAGGGAGAATGGGACACTCGTCACCCTGGCTTAATCCCTTACAAAGACTATGCAAGAAGATTATTACCCTTCTTCAATAAAGTTGAATTCCATCAAATCCCTAGAGATGAAAATCAAATGTCGGATGCTCTGGCAACTCTCGCTTCCATGTACCAAGTGAATACTTGGAATGATATACCCCGAATTACAGTTCGACAGCTGGATAGGCCCGCTCATGTGTTTACGACAGAGGAGGTAGCAGATGAAAAACCTTGGTATTATGATATCAAGCATTTTCTTCAGACTCAGGAATACCCGGCTGGATAAGCATCTTTTGAAGAAAACAATATTTCAAGTGATTTAAAGGTTGACTATTTGTGAATATCTCAGGTACTTTCTAACCATGGATTCTGGAAAGAGAAAGACCGGGAAATACAGTTTCAAGGATCCCATGATAGATGAGTTGATCAGTCTAATTCCCGAGATCGAGTATTCTGCAGACTTTCGGAAGAAGTATGGATCCATTATTCCTCTCATGAAGCTGAAGATGAAGGAGGGTATTCTCTCGACTTTGGTCCAATTCTATGATCCGATGTATCATTGCTTTACTTTTCCCGACTATCAGTTGATGCCTACACTGGAGGAGTATTCTTATCTATTGGACTTACCCGTTACCGATCGTGTTCCTTTTACTGGTTGGGAGGGTGAGCCAAAACCACATGAGATTGCTGCTTTGATTCATCTGGGGAAGTCTGAGGTGGAAACCCATATGACTACTAAAGGAGGGATTAGAGGATTACCAGCTCAATTCTTATTGGAGAAAGCTCGTTACTTTTCCAGAATGAAGAGTACATGTGCTTTTGAGGCCATCTTTGCTCCACTTACTTACGGATTGTTCTTATTTCCTAATGTGGACAAGTTTGTTGACATTAATGCTATAAGGATTTTCATGATTGGAAACCCAGTTCCTACACTGTTGGGTGCTGCTTATTACTCTGTTCATCTTCAAAATTCTTATCATGGGGGAATGATTATCTGTTGCATGCCTTTGTTGTACCGATGGTTCATCTCTCATATGCCTCAGTCTGGTGCTCTTTGGGATGTCAAGAAGGAACCCCATTGGGATCCTAAGATCATGGAACTTACTCACTCAGATATTGATTGGTATCATCGAGCTTACCAGGATGTGGAGATTATTGACAGTTATGGTAGTTTCCCCAATGTGCCTCTTCTTGGTACAAAGGGAGGAATTAACTATAACCCC